AAAATGGCAAAAAATTGGGAAGGCCCTTACCAAGTTTGCAAGAAGTACGTAGAAGGAACGTTCGGCCTTCAGGATACCGAAGGCCGACCGACAGGAACATGGAATGTAGAACACTTACGGAAGTTTTATCAATAAAAACAGTTGTTGCCACCTCTGTGAAAAAAAGATAGAGAGAGAGAGAGAGGAACTGTGTACAAAGATACATAAAGAGGGAGAAATAACTTCCACAAGGGCAAAAAGTTCGATAACCGGGTCGAAATGACCGCACGGCAATATCGCAACCACGCCAAGAAAGTTGGATAACCGGGACGAAATGACCGCACGGCAATATCACAACTAAAAAATGAAAGTTGGATAACCGGGTCGAAATGACTGCACGGCAATATCACAACTAAAAAATCAAAGTTGGATAACTGGGTCGAAATGACCGCACAGCAATATCACAACTAAAAATCAAAGTTGGATAACCGGATCAAAATGACCGCACGGCATTATCCCCTGGGCTTTCGAATCTCCGGCACAGTGCTCACATCCACCAACAACCAATGGAAATAGGTTGTGAACCGCGCATATACTTTTGGAATGTAGTGTAACGCATCCGGCATGTGAAAATGCATCTGAACATAACACTTTGAACATCAATTTCTTTTACAGTTATTTTGAAGGAAATAGATGACCCACTTGATGTTGACATTTATAAGCGGGAGCATTTATTCTCAAAATTCTTTTGCTTTTATATTAGAATAGATAGGAATATCTGAATCACTAACATTCTTGTGCTAACCGAACTACAAAATCTTTACACAATAATTCTTTTATATTTATTTTCAAAATTAAAAAATATAATGTTGATGTTGACATTTCTGAGCGGGAATCCATTCCACAAAACCCTTTTGCTTTTAGATTACTAGATTCTCACCCGTGCGATGCACGGGACATAAATAAAATGCTTCCCGTGTATCGCATGGGTCAAAAATTATATAATAGTTGTATTGTTCTTATTTGTTAACATTATTAATTATTAGTTCATGTATAAATGTATGCAAATAGTAAAGAAGTAGTACGCACAATAAATTAAAATTAAGGAAATTATAGTCAAGACTCTATCAGGGTGTTTGAAAATGGCGTTTCGGCCAAAAAATGGCGGTTTGACCCACTTTAGTGTTTTTAATAAGTGAAAACGTTGTTCGTTAAATAGCTGTTCGCCATAGCGTTTTGGATGAAACCGCTAAAATGAAAACGCTGCAAATATGAGAGATTTGAGTTAGTATTCTGAAATATTTTGTTTTCTAGTAATTGTTATGGCCAAACAGTTAAATTATAAAATATATTACTGACAACCTGCCAACTTATTCCGCTAGTCAAATTCGGCGATTGAATCTAATATTAACAACCCGGTAAAATAATGTGTTACCCACTAATCGCTAACCATAAAATTCCAAAAGGCGCTATGTATTGGTAGTAATTAGTAAATTCTAATGATTGATTATTTTAATAATACCATTAATAAATTATAATTTCAGATATTCTAACATTATATAAGTAATAATCATATAACACATAATAATATTGATATTATTATTATTATTATTATTATTATTATTAATAATAATAATAATGTTATAATATCACTAAAATTCAAATTTTCAATAACACAATCTTAACAACATAGTACTATGGAGTACGGAGTATTAACTAACTCACTAAAAAATACCTAGTGTAGAATAATAACAACACCAACAACTCCGTTGTTAAACAGCGTAATATTATCCTTCCCTAAAAAACAGCCCAATATTACACTTAAATTAAAGCCTACACAATAACAACTACTGAGTATCACTTAAATTAAAAGCTTCAGACAGCCCATTTAACATCTATCTCAGCCCAACAATCCAAACCTAGATAACCGACCTATATAAACACCTTTACCCTTCGGCCTTTTGTTTTACATTTCGGCCTCCTTCACAACAGACCATCGGTTCTTCAACCTTCGGTCTCTAGGGTTTAATTCGGCTGATTCTTACCATTTAACTCCATAGTTTCTTCAACCCTGGTCTCTTGAGTATCAATCGGTTCTTCAACCCTCCGTAAATTGGACCTTATCTCTATTTAGAGCATGAGTTGAGTTGGTTTTTTGTCTGATGCTGCCATTTCCGACCATTGCAACGGCTACAACGGCTGAGTGATTATCAAATGACCTCAGACCTCTTCTTTCTTCATTTTGGTAAATCCTATACCTTTTCTATATTTTTATTAGTTTTTTATACATGCATTTGTATACTCACTATTTTAATTTTCAGATCTACCATTTTGATACTTATCTGTAAAATGATATCATGAGGTTACTGTCCTTGATATACTTTCTGTTCAAATATTTACATTTGGGGACAGTATACATAGTTTGAACTACAATTATGAAATTATTTTTTCCGTGGATTACTGTTAATTTCAGTAACTTCAGTATTGTAATTTCAGCAATAAACAACTTTGAAAAGTAGTAATATTGTTTACTTTTCAAGCGTAAACCATACTGATTGACCAACAATATGCTTTTTATAATTGTTGAGTAAATAGTCCATTTGAAACATGCTATTTATAATTGTTTTATAACCATCATTGTTTTTTTTCATAATGCTTTTTAAGGCCTGATTATAATCCTTGGTTATAGGCAAGAGGCCCTTAACCGATGTCTTGATATATAAGACAAATATTAATCGTGCACAAATCATACATGAAATATTAAAAATGATTTTTATTGAAAAGTGAAAATTGATTTAATTTTATTAAATTATTGGTCAGTAGCAAGCCATTGTTTTACCTTAATCCATTCTTAGTTCTGTCTCAGATTACTGTTTATTACCTAAAGATTGACAACTTTTGAAATAACTGACCGTTTTCAAAAGACAAAAATGTTACCTACAGTAGTAAGCCATTGTTTTACCTTAATCCATTCTTAGTTCTGTCCCAGATTACTATTTATTACCCAAAGATTGACAACTTTCGAAATAATTGACCCTTTTCTAAAGACAAAAATGTTACTTGTATTTTCGTTTTCACAGATACCTCACAATCAGTATCATACATTGACCAGAATGACATTGAACTTAAACATATTCCTCTTAGTGATCTGTTATATGTGTTACTATGTATCTATTTTGTGAGTTTGAAATTAATATTTTTTATATTATGGAATCTTATTCACCATAAATATTGCAGGTTTGTTGACCAAGCTACACATGCATCCCTATTTCATCTTGTCCTATGCACATGTGTTACTCCTGTATTAATAAAATGTCATTACATTGGATAAGTAACAATAGAGAATAGCATGTCATTTTTTGAATGGATTTATGATCTGATTTCACAAAAAATTGATAAATATTCAAAAGCAGTGAGTACTCTTTCTTGGTTGTGTTTTTGATAAGCACATCATATTCTTAGTTATTTTGCCTTTCAGATTAATAGGTATATCATATAATCATGTTTGATGTTTCCAAAAGTAGATATACATCCCACCGCCAGACAGTTTCATGTTTGATTTTCTTTTTAATTTTTACAGTGTATTCTTTTCTTTTCCTCAATATCAAGTTGGATTGTGCTAGCAAAAGAGATGGTTCATCTTACTCTGTTTTTTCTTCTTTGTTTCTGGATAGCAGACATTTTTCATTCTTAAACAAACCTACCTTGCAGGCTCCAAAAAATCCAACTTGTCTGTCAATTCTAGGAATCCCAGGGAAATAAAAGAGTGTTTGGGGTTGCTTAAAAAAAGCGCTTTTCAGCTTTTGACTTAAAAAAAAGTTGAAAAGGGTGTTTTCAAATGACAGCTTCTGCTTAAATTAATCACTTAAAAGCTAAAAGCTGGAAGCAGGTAGAAGGGTGCTTTAAACTGCTTCTCACTTTTTCTATTACACAAAAAGTACTTATTTTACCAAACACTACCAACTTTTACTTTTTCAAAATCACTTTTTTCTCAAACACTACCAACTTTTACTATTAATCACTTTTCCCAAAATCACTTTAAAAAATCACTTTTTTAAAGTTGAAGCAATCACAAACACTCCCTAAGAAAGAAATGGCTTGTACTCGGCTAGGGTCTTCATTCCAATTCTAATTAGCAATTTAGCATATAACATCATTCTCGTGGTCTTCAAGTTGCATTGGTTGAATGAACAAAAAAAAGGGCAAACTCCCGTTTTGGTGTACAAAAATAGAACCACCATTTTCGCCGATGAGCCATATATTCATACGATTTGCAAATACCAGACATTAATACAACATATTTATAGGACTGTTTATTATCTCCTATAATATAGAATAGTATGAAACTTAAGACTACGGTAAAGGTAAAGAAAGGAGAAGATAATCATTGATGGAGGCAAGTGCATTGGAACGTAGCAGCGGACTAAGAAAGAATTAAAAGAAAAAAGGGAAGGAAAAGAAATGGAAAAGAAAATTAATAAGAAATTAAAAGCAATTGCCACATTTAGAAAACCACTAGGACCGGTCACCTTCAGGTCATTTTGGTTTAGATGACTGTTTTTTACAAGTACATATATGCACATAACACTTTTATTTATTGTTCCAAAAGGTTGAATCGCCAACCCCAAGCGCCCCCCACGCCCCGACCCGACAAGACTTTTGGGAAAATGTAAGTCACGGTGACTCAGTCAGTAGAGTGGCAGTAGGCCCATGCACCCGTGCGCACCAGAGGCCCAGCCTTATTTCAGGTTCTGTGACCTCCACTCGGCCGCTACGGGGATTCGAACCTTGGTCATTGAACACTTTTATTTATGTATATAGACTTAAGTGATAGTTTGAAATAGTAAAAGGCCTATCTGACCCTTTTGTTAAAAGGCACAATACTTTAGAATCGCATTTTTTAACTTGACTTATATCATGTTAGCATTATGCAATTATTATTATGTAAAAAATGCTTAAGGATTAACATTTTCTATTTATGAATTTAACCATGTATACAATTACATATAATATATGTTTTATGAATTTAACCATGTATACAATTACATATAATATATGTTTGATGTTGACCGGGTTTATCGATCGTTGACCAAGTTGACCACTGGTTATCTCTCCGGGCCACTTCCGGATCCGGTTTTTACAACTAGTCTTACACCTAAACATCAATTTTAAAGGATGTATTCAAGGGCAATAACTAATCCAATTCATCATACAAATCATCAATATTCAATAGACAATACTAGTTACCAAATTCTTTTCATACAGAAACTTTTAATCCATCCGATAATATTGTTACAGATAATTAAAATATTTTACTGACCACAAAGAGAAAGGCATCTTAAGCGTCTTTCATATAAATAATGTTCTAACATTTACCAGAATCTCTTATTACTCCCACATCGAAACATATGACATGCTTTTTCACCTGCTGATCTCTTGTACCAGACCCACTGTACCTCTGCCCATTTAGAATGTTGAACTGGAACCGAAGAGGAGAGTCCGGATAGAACCGCATGGTTACTGAAAAAGACCAAAGACTAGCATATAGTAACAGCTCCAGAAGGTCAGCTTCAAATTTTAAGGACACTGGATGCTGGAACTTGAAGGACATTGCTCTGTCCCGCTGGAATGAGAAGAACAAAACATCATCAGAGTCCGTCAATGGAGCTCGGGTTGGCTTGGAAAAAACATAAGGTTAATAATAAAAAATGACTCTGATCAACAATACATACACCCACCTCAAGAAATACAGAATAACCTCGAATAGAGAACTTAATGCCATCATCTGTCACAGATATCACAACTGAAAACCCACCCCAAAAGAAGAAGACTACTGTTAGCCTTCAGCAGAAGACAGCAACCAGAGTCAATAATACTATAGCCAAGATCAATAGAACATTTTATCCCACAAATCCTTACTTTCATCATCCTCTAAGCGGCTAGATTCAGGATCAGGAACTGATATAGGTCCCATTCTATCATCTACACAACGAGTGGTGTTACCACACTCATCAGTGTAGCAAAGCTCTCCAATAATCCTACTGAACAGACCTGTGGGGAGTTTCACAGTGGCATAATAATTCACTTCCGCAACTTGTCGGAGTGGTGGTAGCACCTTGAGGTCAAGATAGGTCAGGGTAAACGGCCGCGCGTCTAAATCTGCAAAGTCACAAGCAATCAGGCGAACAACCACAACAACAAATCAAGCACAGAAACGAAAACATACCTTTCTTGAAAGAGATGGTCTTCTTTTCTGGGTCGATCTCGATGCAGATGACGTAACCTGCCAAGGCAAGGCAAATTGCATCCATGCGATTCAGATCCAACCGCATGGTAATCTTACGGTCATTGTAACCGGTGTCAGAATTGGTTTCTATCCAAGCTTTGATGTCAGCATTCACAACGATTACTTTTTCACTATCTGCGCTGTTGAGGTTTATTCCTTCAATCCTTGGACCCAACACGTAAGCCCAAAGATTTCGAGTGGAGTGGATGTATGGTTATCTAGCCCAACAACTATTAGATGAATCAGGAAACAAGAGTAATAGCAGGCAATGTAAATAGGTATTATTAACTTCGTAATAACTCCCCTAAGTACAATCTACTTGCTAACAAAGGCACGTCGGCCGTTCGTCTTACAAGGCAGTTAGAAATGCTGCGAGTAAGAGTGCTGAAGCTAGTATGCTAAGAATAGAAAGTTGCCAACCCTTTACAATGAAATAAATGCTTCTATTTATACCCGCCAGTGGGCAGGTGGCTGTACTGACGTGGCAGCCTGTGGACCGCTGGTGCCCCAACTACCAAATCTTTAGCATTAAATGCACTTCCCGCCAGAATCTAGGTTTCCCGCCGGAATAGTGGGGACGTTCGTCCACCCGGGAAGTGAGTTGGATTCCTCCAAGTGACCCTTGAGGGATATTGGCTGTTCGTCTCCTGGCCTTGATGGATTCTCACCATGTGGGCTGGGTCTCCTCCGATGACTATGGGCTTGCTCAGGAGACGTTCGTCGTCACCCCTGATGGCCCGTGGCTCCGCTCCTTGTCCCTGCTTAGACGTTCGTCGGGATGAGCCGCTGGGCCTGAGTCCTCCAACACCGGACGTTCGTCCATGCTTAAAGTACATGGGCCTGTGGGCTGGCCTAGTTCCTAGCTGGACGGTCGTCTGGCAAAATGGGTTAGTGGGCCGGACCTCGGCTTGGGCCCTTAACCCAACACAAGTCCCCCACTTCTGATGTTCTGAGCATGCGCAGGACATAAGGAAGTATGAACCTCCCCGAAGTAGACGTCCGTATTTTGGCACTTGTGTTCGTTGCATCTTGGCGGAACCGTACGCTCGTGGCCATGGTGCTTGACAGCTGTTGACGGTTCAGGAAACGAGGTGACGGCTGATGTTGCGGCGGCGCATTTTCCCGAGGAAGTGTCATCATTACGTTCCCATCCCACGCACAGCGCGTGGCCGGGGTACGCTCCTTGCCACGTGTCGGCCCCTTGTTGGCTTCGCCATCGGTGTTTTCTCCTTTAAATACCGGGTTTTCCCTCTGAATTAGGGTTCCCAATTTCTGCTCTCTTGCTCCCGATTTTCCGCAGCTCTTCAAGTCTTCTTCTGAATCCGGCTAACCCCTTTGTAAGGTAATTTCCCCCCTCTGCTCCTTTTCTTGTTCTGATTCCTAGCCGAAATGACCTCGATGGAGATTTCGTCAAGCTCTGATTCCGGTTCGTCGGGTTCCTCCTCGGGCTCCTCTTCGGCCGATGTGAGCGCTCGCTCCCCTGGGAAGGCCAGCATCTCCGGGACTTCTGGTTCAGCCACGACGGTGGGGACCATCCGGGCTGATGGCGAGCCGGATAATGTGTCGCAAAGTAGTGGGAGCGACGCCGGGGACGGGGGTGCCGACGGGGCCGTAGATGTTATTGACGCCGTCCCCCTGAACGAGCGCCCCGCCGGTTATGATTCTGCAGACGAGGCCCAATCTGGCTCCGACCTGGAGGTGCACGATTTAGGTATTCCCATGGATGTGCAGAGGCACATTTGCAAGATTAAGAGTGTCTTAGAGCACAGGCAGTCCCTCTCCAGCGTCGCTATGAACAAGATTGCTTCCTTCTTTCCCCATCCGTTCGTCTTTAGCCATAGCGGGGCCGAACATGCCATGCGGCGACGGCCGGGGATGATCATCCTGCATGTGGATTCTGTGGAGGCCGGTCTGCGGTTTCCTCTCCATCCCTTTTACGTGGAGTTCTTCAACTGCTACCAGGTGGTTCCGGCGCAGTTCATGCCCAACTCTTATAGATTTATCTCCGCATTCCTCGTGCGCTGTTCGTCCGCAAAAGCCGTCATATCGCTGGATCTGTTCCACTACTTCTACCGGGTCACCCCGCAGAATTCCGACGGTTACCTGAGTGTGGCCGCTCGTCCGAAGAGGAAGCTATTTGAGCACTATCCTTCCTCCATCCATGATTGGAAAAATAGGCTCTTTTTTCTTAGATATGACGGTCCTCCCCTCCCAATCCGGTGGAACGGCTACCCTCCGAAGATTGAGTCGCCGGCGCTGTCGGCCGGGCTGGAAGTGGAAGTGAAGAAAGTCCTGGAAGGCGGCGTTCGCCCTATAGGGGAATACCTGACCGTCGAGGCACTCTCTGAAGCAGGCATAGGTACCCGCCCGTGTTCCTGGATTTCTTCCTCCCTTGGACGCTCGTCTCGGGGCACGGGCGGTCCTGTCCTCTGAGGTGGGTGTTCCTCCCTATCCCTGTTCGTCTTTTCATATTCTTGTATTTCTCTCTTGCAGGTCTCCCCCTTACCGCCGAACAAATGGACAATGCTGAGTGCCTGAGGAACAGGAAGGCGAAGATGGCTGCGGCCAAAGCGGCCAGAGAGGCAGCCGCCCATGGAGCCGGATCATCGGCCTCCGACGCCGCCCGTCGGACTGCAGACGGTGAGCAGCACCTGATTGCCACCCTGCTGAACGAGGGGGCCCTGACTCATCATGCTGAAACTGCTCTCCCCCCGCCGGTCGTTGCCACAAAAGTGGTTCCCAAGAAGGGGAGCGAGAAGGCCCCGGAGAAGAAAACGAAGAGGGGGCGAGACTGTGTTTCCTCCGGCCCCATCGTTGAGGATGTTAGCGGTCTATCCCTGAGCCGGCCGGCTGAGGAGCTTTGGAGGGAGCTTGGGGCTAAAGCCGGCCTCGAACTGCCCCCCCGGTCGTCTTCCGAGGCGACCAGCGCTGCTCTTGCTGCGGCCATCCAGGTATTGTTGCGATTCGACCCATCTTGTCCCCTTGACGCTCGTCGCTTCGCCGTCTAAACTCTGTTTATCCCATTTTTTCTTTCAGTCAGGGCTGTTGGTGCTGCAGGCCGAAGCTGCCAGGGATGCCGCCCTGCAGGAGGCAAAGATCAAGGCCGAAGCCGCCATACTGACGGCTCGGGAGGCCGCCCGTCGGGCAGAGGAAGAGGCTGCTTCGGCTAGGGAGGAGCTTCAGTCCCTCCGGGCTGAAACCGGCGCCCAATTGGCCTGCCTGGAGAAGGCCGGCTTCAAGCTCATGCCGGTACTTCCGGCCCCAAAAGATGCCACCCCGGAATGGTGCATCAATACCTCCGGTTACCGGAATACCGGCGAGTTTATGGAGTCGGCCAAGGACTTCTGCGCCGGGGCTTTTGGTGACGTGTTCTCTCATGCTCTGGGGAAAATTCCGGCGAAGGACCGTCTGAGGTTCGGTGTGCGGCTGATGGAAAGCTCCCCCCTGTCGCGCCAATTCCTCTATGATTCTGCCGATAGCGCCTTCGCCGGTGGCTATAATGAAGGGATCAAGGCCATCCTCCCAATCTTCGAGAAGCTCCTAGGCCCTGGCGTCAACCCAGCCGATCATACGGATGACGATCTACTGATCGAGGCCCTGGGGAAAATAGGGCGGGATAGACGCCGGGCGGCGGCCATAGCCATGGGGGATATCCCGGAGCCCCCAACCCCTGAGCCCGAGCCTCGGGAGGAGGAGCATACTCATGCCAACAGCCGACCGCCGTCCCCCCACATGTGTTGATTTATTTCTTAGCCTAGATTTATTGCAGTACGTAGACTTGTAGTTTCCAGCCGATAGTGCTGAAGAATAAAGATCCACATTTTGCCAAAATTCGTTCCCTTTGTCTCTTGTTGTATGGAAATTCATTCCGTGCCTCGAAATATTCTGCTGCAAAGTAGTTTGTTAGGACGTCCATCCCTGCTCGTCATTTGACTTTGGGCAGGGACGTCTCCTTGCTCCCCTGGCAACAGCATTCTTGACGACGGTCGTCGGAGGCTGTCCAAACAGCACATTTCCTCCGATACCTCGATACCGTGTATGGTTGTATGGAAAGACGTTCGTCGGGGGCTGCCTTGAAGTACGTTCGTCGGGGGCTGCCTCAATATTTCCTGACGATGTCCGTGTATGGTTGTATGGAAAGACGTGCGTGCCCTATTGTTGACGTAGTACGGAAAATTCCTCCGATACCTCGATACCGAGGCCGGCCTGCCGTCCACACAGCATTTTTACAATTGGGGGACGTCCGTCGGTAATTGCTTCGATGGTACAGTTCTCAAGTGCGGACATATGGATGTGTTTCCCTGGAGAAGCGTCAGGTGGCGACGTTCGTCTACCGTTGCGTGTTGAAATTCGGTGACCGGAAAGATGAGCGTGGCCGGTTGATGCGTGTGTCCTCGTCAGTCGCCGATGTTATGGGCGGCCTATGAACTGTGCAAACATGGGAAGACGAATGTCTCCACAACCCTCCTGCGGGGACGTCCGTGGCATGGATCCGGATATCTTCGTGGTGGTTACGCGGCGACGAAATCGAGGTGCTTAAATACCGTGGTAGGTACCGGTACCCAGGCACCACGTGTCCCGCTTCGGTTGGTGTGTTCCGGCGGTGCTGCCTATAAGTATTCAGAACCCATGTAATCCACTCATTCTTCTCCTTACGCTGCACAATTGTCTTCTCTCTCTAGGTTTCTCTCAAATCGTACCGGAAGTCCCAATTCCCAAAGGTACCGTTCGTTGCCATGTCTTCTGAAAATCGTTTCGACGATGGATGTTCTTCCGGTGATGACTTGGAATATTATGAGCGGGGAATGCCACCCTGGCCTCCCCGTTATAGCCTCAGCTTCTCGTACGTTCGGCGTCAAGTTCAACGCCTGACGAACGCTGACAAGCGTCTGATCAGCCAATGGTTCTATCCTCCCAGAACCTACGACGATCGGCGTCTGCGCAACCCCATGCGCCATCTGCCCGGCTACGTGGTGGTCCACTTGGATTCGGTGGTAGCCGGGCTGAACTTTCCCCTGCATGGCTTCCACTTGGAACTTTTCAGGGCCCTCGAGATAGTACCCGCGCAGTTCGTCCCTGCCGCTTATCGGATAATCGCTGGCTTCATCA